GCGTCTACACTACCGCTGAGTTCTGTCGACATAATGTCGACAGAACTCAGCAGTTTTGTCGACACTGGTATACCTCATTTTACGAGGCATAACACCTTCTGTCGACAGAGTTCTGACGACAGAAGGTGTTATTGCATGTAAACTGTCCTTTGCATCTACACTACCATGTCGACAAAGCAACTTGCTTTGTCGACAGAACTTAATGTAGTCTAGATGCTCTTTGTCGACAGACGTTTTGTCGACAGTATCTGTCGACAAAATGTCTGTCGACAGAAGCCTGTAGTCTAGACGTACCCCTAGTGACAGATGATGTGGGAAAAGAAGTACTCAATGCTTTCTTTGCCTCTGTCTTTATGGACAAGGTCAGCTCCCAGACAAATGCACTATGCAATGCAGTATGGGAAGGAGGTAGACAGTCCTTGGTGGGTAAAGAACAGGTTAAGAACTATTTAGAAAAGCTAAATGTACACAAATCCATGGCTCTGGATTTAATGCATCGGAGTGTACTGAGGGGGTTGGCAAATGTCATTGTGGAGCCTTTGGCCATTATCTCTGAAAAGTCATGGAGATTGGAAGAGATCCTGGATAATTGGAAAAAGGCAAATGTAATGCCCATCTTTAGAACAGGGAAGAAGGACAATCCAAGGAACTGTAGACTGGTAAGTCCTATCTCAGTCCCCAGAAAAATTATGGATGGGATCCTCAAGGAATCCATTTTGAGGCACTTGGAAGAGGGGAAAGTGATCAGGAATAATCAAAATGAATTTATGAAGGGCAAGTCACGCCTGACCAATCTGATTAGCTTCTATGTTGAGGTAACCGGATCTGTGGATATGGGAAAGTCAGTGGATATGATATACCTTGACTTTAGCAAAGTCATCTCTCACAATATTCTTGCCAGCAAGTTAAGGGAATATGGATTGGATAAATGGACTGTAAGATGGCTAGAAAGCTGGCTAGAAGGTCAGGTCTAGCAGTTAGTGATCAATGGCTCAATGTCAGGTTGGGAGTCGGTTTCTAGCGGTGTGCCTCAAGTATCAACTTAGGTTTTGTTCAACATCTTTATTAATGACCTGGATGAGGGGATGGATTGCACCCTCAGCAAGTTTGTGGATGACACTAAGCTAGGGGGGAGAGGTAGATACACTGGAGAGCAGGGATAGGGTCCAGAATGACCTAGATAAATTGGAGGATTGGGTCAAAAGAAATCTGATGAGGTTCAACAAGGACAAGTGCAGAGTCCTGCACTTGGGATGGAAGAATCCCAAGTATTTTTACAGGTGGAGGACCCACTAACTAAGTAGCGCTACTAAGTAGCAGTTCTGCAGACAAGGATCTGGGGATGACAGTGGATGAGAAGCTGGATATGAGTCGACAGTGGGCCCTTGTAGTCAAGAAGGCTAATGGCATATTAGGGTGCATTAGGAGGAGCATTGACAGCAGATCTAGAGAAGTGATTATTTCCCTTTATTCCGTTGTGGTGAGGCCACATCTGGAGTATTGTGTCCAGTTCTGGACTCCCCACTATAGAAAGTATGTGGACGCATTGGAAAGGGTCCAGCGCAGGGCAACCAAAATGATGAGGGGGCTGGATCACATGAACTATAAGGAGAGACTGAGGGATTTGGGTTTGTTGAGTCTGCAGAAGAGAAGAGTGAGGGGGGATTTGATAGCAGCCTTCAACTTCCTGAAGGGAGGTTCCAAAGAGGATGGAAAGAGGTGGTTCTCAGTGGTGACAGATGGCAGAACAAGGAGCAATGGTCTCAAGTTACAGTGGGAGAGGTCCAGGTTGGATATTAGGAAAAACTATTTCCTTAGGTGGGTGGTAAAGCACTGGAATGGGTTACCTAGGGAGGTGGTGGAATCTCCATCCCTAGAGGTTTTCAAGTCTTAGTTTGATAATGCCCTGGCTGGGCTGATTTAGCTGAGATTGGTCCTGCCCTGGGCAGGAGGCTGGACTTGATGGTATCCTGAGACCTATTCCAGTTCTATGATTACTTTATTGAGTGTCAATTTTTTTTCTTCCACATGAAGGGACTATTTTAAAAGGATGTTGAGAAAAAACAAAAACATCCCCCTCTCCCATTCATTCTTCTTTGTGATAGTTTCTTATTCCCTCTCCCACTCTTTCTGGCTGGTTTCCAAATGAGAAATATGGGGTCCTCACTTACTTTTGTGGGATGCACTTTTATACCTCCCTATGCTGTCAAAATTGTGTGTCTGAAACAATGTTTAAAATCAATTTTTGGCCTTTTTTGTCACTTAAGAGTATTGACACCCTTATTTCACAAATTTTTCTGGGATGTATTTTTTTGAGATGCAAGTATTTTATTTTTCCAAATTACCACAACTCTCTGGGGCTTTGTTTTTCAGATCCTTTTTTTCCAAGGGTATCTCCCTCGGCAGTGGCTCTATATGTGATCCTGGTTATTTCTTTTGTTTTGATTGGCCTTGCTGCTTTTCTCTTCATGATAAGAGGTAAAGGCCTAAAGAAGCAAATATAATGTGGTAAGAAGGGGGAAAAACCCCACTCTTTAGAAAAAGAGCTTGGTAAATGGAGAAGACAAATGACTATGAGAGAAGAACACAGAAAAGATGAAAGAAATAGGCAATAGGAATGCAGCCGATGATGAATGGAGAAGAGAAAATAATGATGATACAAGCCCCAAGGTCAGTGATCACTTTGCTGAATAGGGGTGGGATTATGCACTTGATTAAAGGTAAGCACACGAGGAATTGTTCTACAGAATCAGGGCTATAACCATGGTGCAGCATTACGTTCATGTTTAATATGAACATGTTATTATCCTAATGAGCACAGTTTGAGCAGTTATGCATATGCTATCTCATTAGTAGTGCATGGAAATTGGTTAGTCAATTGAGCCACTAATTTATTTAAGGTCTGGCTCTAATAATGACATGGATAATCTTCTTTTTTGTATTCAAATTAGTCCAAATTCCCTTTCTTCTCCTCTAAAAAGATCCTCTAGCTCAATTTGTTCACTTTTCCATACCCTCTTCCAGTTCCTGGCTGACTGACAAAACCTGATGCTTCATGGTTTACTTGACATAGAGCCCTGCATAGATCAGTGTTGCTGGTGATTTGTAGCACTGGGACAGATTGTAGCTCTGTAATCGCTGCCAAAGGGTAGTGCCCCAGAAATAGGCTAGAGAACAAATTGTGAACACCATAAATCTTCCCAGCCTTCCTCTTGCTCTGGTGAGGCATTAAGACCTGGAATCACAAATAGATGGAAGTGTTAAAATGCTGTGCATCACAATGGCCAATGTTCTGGCATCCAGAAAAATCACTAGTACAGCATCATGGTTCGCAAAGCCCAAATTAGGTGCCCTGTTCAATGACTGGGGAGAGAGAGATGCCTAAAAATGGGAGTGCCATAAGCCAATACACTAGGCAGGGAGCCACTTAACCTAGCCAATGGCAGATGCCAAGAAAAGGGGTGTGGTCTAAATCTGGCCCCATATCAGAGTTTGGCACCTGAATTCAGGCTGGAAAGAATGTCTCTCTAGAAACCCCACTCAGGCACCAGAGCCATTTCTTGCAAGTAG